ATTTACAATATGATTTTAAGGTCATTCATGATTTTTTTTTTATCTCATAAATTCAAAGTTTTTATCTATCTTTTTAAGCATTATAAATACATATTTGAAAAAAAAATGTTCATTACTTGTATCACTGAATATCCATTTCYTGTACCTAAATTGATGGCTRTAGCTCCATTTTCATTAGCATTTTGTAACTTATGTAATGCACTAACATGACCTTCGGCCAGGTCCATAATGTGAAGATAGTCTCTTACTCCTGTTCCATCGATAGTATTATAATCATTACCGAAAACATTTATACATGGTCGTTTTCCAACAGCTACTTGCGCAACATATGGCATTAAATTGTTGGGAACTCCAGTAGGATCTTCTCCCAAAGTTCCAGAAGGGTGAGCCCCCACTGGATTGAAATAACGCAAAATAATCACAAACCACTCCTAATAATAAACACACATAGGAGGTAAATAATGAATTTAATATTAATATAATGGTTTAAAAATATACTTTATCAGAATTGCATAAGTCTTGTATTATTCCTTCAATATAATATTTTGATTTAGCATATCCATTGAGTAAATTTTGACCAACCGGGTGCGATTCAGTTATCGGTAAAAATTGTGGTTCACCATAAACTGTAGATGAGGAGGAAAATACAAGCTTCTTTACATTGTGTTCTTTCATAACCTATCAATTAAAGTTTATTATTAGTGTACAAGTTATATATACTATATTTACCATTTTTGTTCAGTTATTATTTAAGTAATTGTTTATACTAGTTATACTTAACATACTTGAAATAAATTGATTGATCCTGAGACATTGACTCGATAATAAGTCAAAGGAATGATACATGATTCACCTACAGCTTTTAATCCAGCAAAGTGAATAACACAACAGAAATTATGCTATAAATAAAATAAATATATAAATAAATATAATTGATTGTATTATGTATAAAATATAAACTATACTATTATTAGTACTGACTATTTATGCTGATATTTCATTTATTTCATTCCTTATAAGCAGCACACTTGATGCTTTTGAACTACACACATCAATCTCGCTTCATTTCCCAGCCTACCCAAAAATAAATCACTCAATTTTTATATTYCATCAATTCTATCTCGTAACAATCGTCATGTACATAGAATACTACGCTAGTCGCTAGTTCAAAAAATTAGTTTTTTGACTTCAATCTTAACCTTTTATTTGTATCATATAACTTATGGCTGTTTTACATTAAAACTGTAATTATACTTGCCAAATGCTTTATAAGATGAAAAAAAAATAATAATATTAGGTATGCTTCTAATATTTTTAATATCCTGGTTATTTATAGCAACAAATCACCTATTTAAAAATCCTACAAAATTATTCTGTTCATGAGCCATCATCAATGCCAGCCTTTGGCCATAACCACATCCTTCCCCTCATGTACAAGATCTATACCCTCTGAACAATCTGTATTTTTGTATTTATATATTATTTATCTATATTCGTACAACACTGTTTACATTAAGTTTTAACTATATTATATTTCTTTACTACAYTGTAATTTTTATTTGATATTTTCCATTTATATTCMAATAAATAAATAACAAGGGTAAAGTGCATTATTTAAAACCAATTTGGTCTTTCTACATTAGTGAGAATAATGTTATATTATACCTAATTATGTCATTAGGTATATAAACTAAAGACGTTTACATATCTATTGTAAGAATCATAAAATAATAGGGCACAATGAAACATAAAGCTAACCTTATCAAATACTTTAGAGAGTGAATCATAATCCAAGAGATCAACRTTATAGAATGTAATAGGCTTCCCAACCAATTTTTCAACTTGTAATATTGGTATTGGATTTTGTCCTTCATTTCCTATATAAATAATAATTTAAAATACATTTTAAAAATAGAATACAACAAATTGTTAATTGTATTTATAATTGTGTAAATCTATGTTGGGAAAATGCATTTAAAAACTAAACTCATTCAAGTAACTAGATGAATATGTAAGAATTAACTTGTTCGTTTAACATTCATTAGACAAATAAAATTTTCTATCAGATTATTTATTTTGATTATTAATTTAAAATTGAATATCTAGCTGCAGAAATGAGTCAAATAATTGAATGAAAGTATAAAAACAAAAATTATTATTAAGAATATTTTCAATAATTAAATATGATTTGTATTACAAAAATGTATACGATTTGATTAGCCTGGAATCATACAAGTTTTCTTCAAAAATGAATTTAGTTCACATTCTATTTGAAAAAAAAAACTAGTGATGTTTATCAATATCAATATCATTCATTAAATATAAACATGAATTTTCCACATACTAATTTAGATACAAAATACAAGTTAAGAGCAAGCATCATTTATAGCATTACAGTTTAGAAATTAAATTAGATGGAAAAGCATGAAAAATAGTTATAATTAACTCCATTCTGATGCTTATAGCTTACACAATTGATGTTAATAGATAACTYATATAATTATATAGATATTAACATTATTAACTTATTTAAAT